TCCCCCCAGAACCCCCGGAGAACCAACAAGTCAGACATAGGACAACAAGTAGCCGAAGCAGACTGTATATACCGCGCCATGGCTGAATCCTCAAAAAGAAGAGTACAAAAAGGAGAAGACATCCTAAGAGCCAGGACCCAGGCAGATTCCATAGAGGAGGCAGGCACCGCCTGCCTACATGCGAGCCAGGAAACATAAAACAGGGAAACCGTCTTCAGCAAGATTGGCGCAAAATGCTTTAACGAGGCAGCCGAGGAGCGAGCCGCGAAGCCCAAGGCACCAGACCCAGGAACGGCCCCAAGTGTCCCCACATCCTCCTCAAGCCAGACCGAAGACAGCTCTAGGAGAGAAGAGAAACGCAAGGCCGAAGCCAAGAGGCTACGGGTGCGCAAGTCCTCAGCAACTTGCGTTGCCGAAAGGGAGGGAACCTTCACATGGAACTGCAGAACGCCAACATCCCAGGAAAGGGCTGGGGCAAACAAACACTCATTGAAGTGCTCAAGATCGCCCCCCCCCCCCCAGGAAAACCTGAACCACTGTCGAAGCCTCGCGCCACTCAAGCGAGCGGGTACGACAGAAGGATGCCAAGCCTCCAAGGCAAACACAGAACAGTCCGCCAGCCAGGACGACCCCGGAACCTCGTAACAGACCCAGAAAGGGAATGACAACCCAAACCTGAATGAAGACGTATCCATAAACGAGGCATACTCCGGGTCGCGCAGGTGGTGGGCTGCAAGGGCCACCCGCACCGTAGACGGCAGGATGCGACAAGCCGAAAACCTCCGGATGAACGGAACCAACACACCCGGGGGGACACAGAACCGAACCTGGAGAGGGGCAGACACCAAATCCAGCTCATATGCAGAGGGGAGATAAGAGAACTCCACTCCTTGTAACAGTAAGCCTCGCTCAGAGGGTAGAAAAACCCAGGCGGGGTCCAATGGGACCCAAGGCCCCCAAGTCTGCCCCTCCCCAGCCTCAAGATCCTCCTTCACCGGACCCGAGCCGAGTCGTCCCCTAACGCACTGGCCTCAAAAGAAAAAGTTAGTGCAGCCGCCTAAGCCGAACGAAAGGAGCCCACTGGTCAGACCCGGAGGCAGCAGGCGGGGAATCAGACTCTAATGCCTCTGTCGCCACACAGGAAGGGGCATCCCCCGAAACTGCCAGAGTCTCAGAACCATCTGAACCATGCCCCGACTCCGAAACCCTCAGACGCTTCAGGGCCGGAATCAGGGGGGAAGGGGGGGGGGCAGGACACACCACAGCAGGGAAAGGACGAGGGGGTGCAAACTGAATCAAAGTCGAAGCGACCCCACCTCCAAGTCTGGGTCCCCTATAAGCAAAAAGGGGCAGTCTCAGGGCATCCGGGTGAGAAACCAACCAAGCGCGTTGCAACAACCTAAAACGCACATGCAACGTCTGCGCCACATGTATCCATAAAAGATCATCATTAGACTGGGTAAACTGAGTCACAAGCAAGTAACAGAGCTCGCAGGACTACGGGTCAAAAGTGTCACCGACTCAACAGGCAGACAAAAAAAGTAACTCACCCTGAGACAAGGGAACAGAGCAACCCTCAAACTCGAACGAAGTGAGTGAGGACTCTGGGGTCACATCCATCAGATCCACGCACCCCCGTGGGGTTTCCCAGGGTCCTGAAACGGTAACTCATGCTCAAGGAAATCCCAGGCAGGGTACTGCTAACCGGTGCCCAAAACTATCAATCAACAGTCTAAAGCAGAACCCCAGGGATGTGTACACTCACGAGGACCTAGCAGGGGGCACCACTAGACCAACCGTAGCAGGTCAAACACCAAGGGCAAGCAAAGCAGACACCCCTACAAGGCAAAAACAAAACCCCGCAAGAGGACAACGTACCCCAAGGAACAGAGTCAGCCGCTTTAATAGGTGAAAACAAGCTGGGCAGCACCCTGTGCCCTATACCAATGCAAGATGCCTCTTACCCTAAGGTAAACAAGGGAAACCAAGCACCCAGGGGGTGCTTGGTTTCCTTTCGAGGCCCCTTAGGTGCAAGCACTTAAGGGGCCTCGTAGCCTGGTGGATAGCGCGCAGGACTCGTAATTCTGTGGCGCGGGTTCGATTCCCGCACGAGGCAGAAACAAATGGGCAAAGTTTCTTTCACCCTAAGTGCCCCTGTTACCTAGCAGTAAATAGGTACCTGGGAGTTACTCAGCTGTCACGGGCTGCTTCCTGGGGTGTGTGTGTGTGTGTGTGTGGTATAAAAAAAAAAAAAAATAGTAGTAGTTAGTTAGTAAACAGTTGATTGACAGTTGAGAGGCGGGCCGAAAGAGCAAAGCTCAACCCCCGCAAAACACAACTAGTAAACACAACTAGTAAACCCAAAGGGCAGCCAAAAAACCGAGCAGTTAAACAGCCCAACATAGGCAAAACCTAAGGAACTCATGGAAGGGAACCCCCAAGCTCCAAGGGCAGTACTTACAGGGCACCTGGGGAAGGTAACCCTAGGCACATGCAGCCCAGCAATATACTGGAGTAATAACAGGGAAGCTTTTAACATGAAAGAATATTTTCTGACAGAAAAATGAGGGTGGTAGCAGATCGAAGAAATGTTACTAGTGGAATACCACAAGATTTAGATTTTGCACCAGTAATGTTCATTGTCTACATAAACAATCTACCAGAAGGAATACAGAATTATATGACCATGTTTGTTGAACATAAGAAACTTAGACCATTGTCATGGCCTTCAAGAAGACCTGGACAAAATAAGTGTATGGAGCAACACATGGCATATGGAATTTGATGTGAATAAATGCCATGTTACAGAATATGGAATAGGAGAAAATGGGCCACAACAACCTACAAATTATGTGAAAAAGCTTCAAAGAATTCTGATAAAGAAAATCTTACGGTGGTTCTGGATAGAAAACTATCAAATGAGGACCACATAACGATCATTGTGTGAGGGGCCTATGATATGCTTTCCAATTTCAGAATTGCTTTTAAATTCATAAATGGCAAAATACTAAAGAAATTGTTCACAACCTCTGAGACCAAAGCTAAAATATATAGCAGTTGCATGGTGCCTATATCTTAAGAAGTACATCAACAAACTGGAAAAGGTTCAAAGAATTGCAACTAAATGACTCCTGGAACTGAAAATCAAGAGCTATGAAGAGATGTTAGAAGCATTAAATATGGCAAAGCTAAAAGACAGAAAGAGGCTATATGATCACCACGTACAGAATAGTAACAGGAAGACAAAACTGATAAAGAAAAATTCTTCAGACCTGGAACTTCAAGAACAAGAGGTCATAGATTAAGCTAACTAAACAAAGGTGAAAAAATGATAGAAAATTCACTTTTGTGAACAGTGGTAAACGGCTGGAACAAGTGAAAAGGCGGAGGCCAAAAATTTTATTAGTTTCAAAGCATTATATGACTTGGAAGATGGGAGGTGGTGGGAAGATGGGACACCAAGTGTGTAGCTCTTCTCCTGTAGTCACACCACACCCTCTGGTAGCTTTCATTTCCACCAAGGGTAGCACTTACCATGCAAGACAACATGCTTCCCCACATTTCCTTGCACTTGATGCCTCTGTTCACCTAGTAATAGCTATGTACCCAGAAATTAGGCAACTGTTGTTGTGACGGGGGACCTCACTATACCTAACGTGCTACCCGTTCCCGATAATGGGAACTAAACATGGGTAAAATTTCATATTTATTTTTTTCACATTTTATATTAAATTTTTAGTATGAAAAATACCTACTCTCTCAGCCTATATTATTAACAGTGCAGATAAATAAATTTTCATATAAAATATAGTACAGTATACATAAATTAATTGTTCAATTTATGTATACATTAAAGTTTACATTAAAGTTTCTAAATTATAATAAGAGTGCATAAAATAAGATACTGCCTTATCTTCTTTATCCTAAAGAGGTTAAGGGAATATTTCAGCTCAAGAAGCCAGAAGCTAGAATCACAGAGAGAAGAGTCTTAAGAGTGGCAAGATGTCAACAGTGGGACCTTACAGGGGGTCAGTACTGGAACCTGTCTTATCCCTGCTGGATATGCAACCTCAAACATCTCCACCGCAGCCTTCCACACTCCACCCACATGTCACAGAACTTTGTTTTCCTAATAATTTACATTTTTTATATTTTACTGGATATAATACAACATGTATTTAATAATATTTTACATGCAAATGACAAAAAATATTAACACAGTTGTATGACACAAAAAATCTTAACACAGCTGTATAAACCACATTTTCTCAGGTAGCTCTAAGACTGGTAACCATAGAATTTTGCTTTAATCATCTTCATCAGCCAATGGCACCAACACCTTAAGTATCATTATCTTTGCACAATGCAAACAACAGACCAATAACATGACAGTGGGAGAAAATCATAAAATAGCTGCAATGCTGCTTTGGATAATACAACAGCGTTATGCTGACCAGTGTAGAAAGTAGTTTAGAAAGTTGAGGGTCTCATATCCATATTTACACCTATCTTCATATAATCATTTTAAAAGCTAACTTGTTTGGTGCTTTTCCATCCCATAAAGTGGGAAATGGGTTAGTGGCAATGATATAAAAACCACTGGATAATTGTCGAGGCTTCAGTAAAAAGGCCTAAATAAGCGTGGACTAAAAAGGAATACTTTATGCTGGCACAATCCGTGATCTCAAGGCAATATCACCAAATTTCAAAAGAAATGCGTGCATCTTAGAAATGCTCTAAGAGGGAATAAGAATTACCCAATTCTCAAGTTTTAACAATTTTGGAGAGTATGTTTAGAGAGGAATGCCTGGAATATTTTTTGTTGTGAAAACTACCACCAGAAGTAATTCCCTAGAAGGGAAGGGAAGGGAAGATACATCAGAGACACTCACACAACAACTAACAGCAGAGAGAGTATAAATAAATAAATATAGAAATGTCCTGTTGTATGATGCTCCCTCAAATTAAAAAGATAAAAAAGTAATATTTTCACACCTTACCTTAATCCATTCAACATCATCACCACCAAGAGCTCTGACAGGAATCAATTTAACCTGCCGCTGCCGTCCAGCAATGACCATAATCAGTTGTTCTTCTGCTATATACTCAAGACTAACAATTTTTTTACCATCTCCTATCCTTGCAATTTCTGGAACAACAAAGAATTAGTGTAAGCATTGAAAATTAACAATACTCATTCTTCCTACATTATTTAAACCTTTGTAACATTTCATAGCATCGCCTGGCCTAGAGTGGCTGATGATGACTGCATGGCTTAAACACACCTTTTCCAGCTTACTGCTGATCACAATTATCTTCCGAAGCAAACTTTTTAACACTGCCCTATGATCCTGATTGACCAGAATGTAAGCCGTCTTCATCAATATTACAGTATATGTAAGTATTCCAATATATCTTAAGATTTTCAGTATTTTTAGTGATAGTGCCTTAGGAAACCTTAATGACAAATGTCCACAAATTCATTACCACTTTTATGTACAATTTCAGTTAAAAAATATTAAAATGACAATGTTGTTAACTTTCACATTATGATAAATTATACATGTGACAAAAAGAGCTAGCATTGGTTTAACTTTCGATAAAATAGTTCATGCAAGATAAGACATTCAATCACAAAGTCACAAAGTACAATAGAACTCCACTATACTGTTTACTTTTATACTGAAATCCTAAATATAAGAAAACCTTATTCACGACACACGTTGAGAGGACATATTTGCAAGGTACAAAGTCTCATTTGTAAACTTCCCAGGTTCCCAAAACAGCAGACATTCTGGGCACCTGGGATTGCAGTCCATCTTGCATTTTATTAAAGCAAGTTGTAACTTTTGTGTTTATTGCACTTTACCTAAATACTATACCTTGCTACTGTGTCGATGTACTAAGTGGTACATAATTCAGAATCATATCTCACACAAGGGATGTGTTTCATATAAATAAACAGAAAACTGTAGGTTACCACCAGCTGGATTGGCAACATTCTTGAGTATTAGCTACTCATTTTATGCCTTCTCTAGTAACTAGTATGTTGAAATATACTCTACTTTCCATTAGTCTTAAGACAGCTTGTCTACTGTATAAAACTATTAATATTGAATTTGTATAATTAACTATGGCATATAGGCTGTATAATGTGTCATGGGTATATAAGAAAGAGGGGAAACTAAGATTGCAGCTTACAGTCATCAGGCTAGTTAAAACATTCTTGGTAAGTGGTGGCAGAGGTGGTGGTGTTGAGGCTCAGGGCACACACTACTAACATTGTGATGTACACAAAGGTTTCTTTTTTAGGGTATCAAACCATTGCAACAATTTAAATAAAATGTTAAAGATCATATAACAATATTGGAAAAAGGTATCTTATATGGGGGCACTGCGATCATATACATATTGTATTTTATTACTGTATTCACCTGATTTTATCTGCAAGATCAAGCTATTAACTCTAGAACCCCACCTTTCCAACTGCCAATTGTAATGACTCCCAACCTATTTTCCCTTATCATATCTACTAGCCAACTACTGACTATCCTTGGTATGCAACCCACAACAGCTGCAACTCTCAGGTACCTGTTTACTGCTGGATGACCTCAAGTTATATGGTGAACGTAAACATGGCTCAAATGCTTTAGTCCTGCTGTGGGAGATCGAATCTTAAACCCTCATTTGTGAGCCATTCATCCCATTACTCCCACTGTTCATCCCATTACTCCCACTGTTCATCACATTACTTCTGCTACTCATCCCATTAGTACCATTGTTCACCTGATTAATCTCACTGTTTACTCAAAAATGGACACAAATTCATTCAAGTTACCCAAAGATTTATCAGGAAGTACAACAATATTAAGGCAAAACTGTCCTCATTAGTTCAAAATAAATGGAAATCCAGTGAGAGAAATACTTGCCAGTAATGGACACTAACTTACCACAATTGTCAAGGTCAATACAGAAAAGACCTTCCTCAGCACCCAATAGAAGACGGTCAGGATCGATAACTGTACCACACACGGCATTTTTTATCAGCGTTACACTACCATCAACAACCTCGTGGGCAGTAAATATCTGCCGAGAAAAAAATTACATAAAAATTTGCATGGTCATACAATACCAAATACAGTGGCACCTAGACTTACAATTGCCCTGACTTACGACAATTTCGAGTTACAATGTAAATTTGATCGAAAAATGTGACTCGACTTACGATAGTGTCGTCGACTAACAATATTTGTTGGTACACGTTTGGGTCAACCGAGCGCGTGGTTCCCGGTCACGCGGATCGACCTGCCTCGGTTTACTACAGCCGCCTGCTTAGTGACAATCACGCCTATAAGAAATTCTGTTTTTGTGGGGATTTTTTGCTTTTTGAACATAAAAACTGATTATTATATATCCTGCCATAGGTCCCAAGAAAGTCAGTGGTAAGGTTCAACATATGAAAACCCATATAAGGATGACCATAGAGCAAAAACAAGAGATCATTCGTAAATATGAACACGGTGTGTGGGTTGTTGAACTAGCTAGGCAGTACAACAAATCTCAGTCAATGATATCCACCATACTTGCTAAGAAAAAGGACATTATGAGTGTTAAAGTGGCAAAAGGCGTATCAATAATCACGATACATAGAACACAAACACTTGAGGATGTTGAACAGTTGTTATTAATTTGGATACACAACAAGAAGTTAGCAGGTAAAAGCATTTCAGAGGCCATCATTTGTGAAAAGACAAGAAAATTGCATGAAGATCTTATAAAGAAAACCCCTGGATCGAGTGATGCAGAAGTGAAAGAGTTTAAGGCGAGCAGGGGATGGTTATCTTGAGGTTATCTTGAGTTTATTTCGGGGCTTTTTTTTTCAGTGTCCCTGCGGCCCGGTCCTCGATCAGGCCTCCACCCCCAGGAAGCAGCCCGTGACAGCTGACTAACTCCCAGGTACCTGTTTACTGCTAGGTAACAAGGGCATCAGGGTGAAAGAGACACTGCCCATCGTTTCTCGCCGGCACCCGGGATTGAACCCGGGACCACAGGACCACGTGTCCAGCGTGCTATTCGCTCGGCCGGCTGGCAACCCCCCCCCCCATGGTTTGAGAAATTTAGAAAAAGAAGTGGCATTCATAGTGTTGTGAGGCATGGGAAGGGGTGCCAGTTCAAACAAACTAGCGGCGGAAACATTTACAGTATTGGCGAATTTAAAGATTTTGTGCAGAGAGGCATACCTACCACAACAAGAGATTAATTGTGACGAGACAGGGTTATTCTGGAAAAGATTGCCGAAGAAAACATACATTACCAAGGAGGAGAAGTCATTGCCCGGACACAAGCCTATGAATGATCGGTTTACTCTTGTGTTGTGTGGTAATGCGAGTGGCAATTTAAAAATTAAACCCTTGCTTGTGTATCATTCCAAAAATCCAAGGGTTTTCAAAAAATATAATGTGCAGATAAACAAAATGTGTGTGATGTGGAAGGCTAATGCCAAGGCATGGGTGACTAGGCAATTTTTTATGGAGTGGGTGAAGGAGGTGGTGTGCCCTACCATCAAAAGATATTTGCAGGAGAACAGTTTGCCACTCAAGGCCCTGCTTCTCCTTGACAATGCTCCTGCCCACCCTGCCTGCCCACCCAGGCAATTGGGCTTGGAGTTGAATGGTGCTGATGTGGAGGAGTTGGTGGAAGAACACAACGAAGAACTGACCACCGAAGAACTCCATGCTCTTCGAAAGGAGCAGAAAAAGAGGTAGCTGAGGAAATTTCTTCAGGGGAGGAGGTGTCAGTACAGAATGTCCCTTCCTCAACAATTACTAAAATGTGTGAAGCATGGGAAGAACTGCAATCTTTTGCTGAAACGACTCACCCAAATCAAGCTGCAGTAGGCCATTGCCTTAACCTTTTCAATGACACTGTGATGCATCACTACAGACAAATGTTAAAACGAAGGGAAAAACAAGCGTCTCGACAAATTTTTAGCGAGACAAACGAGCAGTGAGCCACAACCAGGTCCTAGTGGTATGTAGGCAAAACATAGGAAAGAGTGTACCCCAGAGAAGTATTCACTGCCTGATGTGATAATGGAAGGAGACTCCCCTTCCAAACAGTAACACATCTTCTCCCTTATCATCATCTTCCATACGCCATCAAGAGTCCTCCATAAAGGTAAGATAAACGTATGTACTGTATAGTAGTTAGAGGAAAAAATTGTATTCAGTATAAAATGTACTTGTAAGTTATATTTTGGAGGGTGGGGAACGGATTAATTCAATTCCCTTTATTTCTTATGGGAAAAATCGCTTCGACATACGATATTTCGATTTACGATCCGTCTCTGGGAACGGATTACCATCGTAACTCGAGGCCCCACTGTATATTAAATGTACTCAGTAGTGGGGGGGAAAAAAAAAAAGAGGGCAATGAGTAGCACAAAATGCTCCTTTCTGTTCACAGGGCCAGGGTCCACTCAAGATATTGCACTTACAACACTCTAAGACAACCTGTGCCAACCATAACAAGTAACTTTATATATGGTCTTGCAAAATTATTGGAGAAGGGGAGACAGTAAAGATTTCTCAATCCACTACCACAACAACCATTTATTATGAGATTAACAACCCATCACACTTCCAGTAATCACTGAGCAGCCAAGAAGAGGGAGGGAGGAGGAGGAGAAAAAAAGAAGGGGGAGGAAGGAGGAAAAGGGGAATGAAGAAGAAAAAGGAGAGTGAGGAGGAGAAAAGGGAGGAAGGAGAAAGGAGAGGAAGGAGGAAAAGGGGAAGAGAGGGAGAGAGCAAAAGGAAAGAGAGAATAACAAGGAAAATAAGAAATACTATTAATACCACAAATCTGAAAAAGTCAAATATACCTGTCTGTTAGGTAGTCTGTTTCTCTTCAATATGCGGTGTAATTCATTTAAAGCTACAACCCACTTGGTTTTTTCATTTTCTGTATCTGCAAGCATTAGCGTATGATGCCTCACTCCCACCATTGAAGATGTTGTTACCTGTAAAAAAAAAAAAAAGCATGCAATGAAAAACAAGCGGTACAAAAATGTAAAAAAAACATACACCGATTCCAAACACACAATGTAATTAAACGCCATTTTCTGGGTGAGCCCCAGAGGCTACCTGGAGCTATTAGGCTAATATGCGATATACAGTATTAGTCTACAACATTAGTCAAAGGAGTTGAGTCTACTGGGGACCATGAGCCAGAACCTGGCCCCCTCAGAGACGTACAGGGAGCAATGGCCTCTGGAAAAAAAACCTGTGGTTGGGGGTATTCCTCATCTGCTATCGACTGGGGTTAGGCACAAAGAAAGGTAGGCAACACACACCCTACTTGATAAGAAAATTGCAACCAAACACTGAACAGGGAGGCATAACTCCTCCAATTATTAACGAAACAAGCAAACGTCATACGCCGCTTGTCCGCACAGCCCTCCCTTCCCGGGAAGGGATGGGGGGGAGCCCAGGACCCCACAACACCGGCTACTCAACCCCAGTTTGGAGGCTAAGCATCAAAAACAAAACGAAACTGCCAACTAGAGGGAGGGAGGGAGGGTGCCACGGAGCCTCAGGGCTCACCCAGAAAATGCCGTTTCATTACATTCATCGCTGGTTTTATGTGAGGGAGCCCCTTCGGCTCCCTGGAGCTACATAATCCAAGATAAGTAAACGAGGGACTTAACTGGGAGGCAACCGCCACACGCTCATCAACTCAAAGTCGAGACAACTGGCTGTAACCTGCGACCCAAAGCCACACACACACACAAATGCCCAGGACCAAGAATGTTTTTACCAAATCAAGGGCAGCTAGGACCCTGTTCGACCTCCAAAATCCCAGCGCCTAAATGTCAGCCCAAGACATGTTGCCTAAGACCACAGCCGAAGCAGCACTTACAAACGTCATGGGCACGAGGTTAAACCAGAGGCTGGCTAGACTTAACTCTTAAACTACGCAAAGCATATGATGCTTTGAGTAACTCAACAAATTGCGCACAGCATCATATGACGTTTGGGAGTACCACGCAAGATTTAAAAGTCCTGCGGCTACACAGGGTTCACATCACCTTCCTCAAGGCTTTTGTAAACAGACGCCATTTAAAAAAAAATCGTGGTCAACATTCCTGAGCGTGGAAGCCTTAATACTGAGTGAGCCACAAAGACTGGTGCACACAGCATGAGCTCACAGCACTGTTGTTCAGCTTGTGACCACAGCATTGCTTAAAAATGTAAAAAATACATGTAACTGGTATTATTTAGAGATGATAGTATTACAGAAGACCCCCTGACTGTGAAAAAAATGACCAGGATTCTGATAATAGCAGGAGTGTTGTGATAATTTACTCTGTGCATAGTATTGTGGGAGGAGTAATATTGAGGGGAGGCAGGGCTGTAGCGTTGTCTGTCGAATCTGTATGGTCACCTGTTACTGTCTGCACTCACCATACTAGCTTAGTGGTTTGCTATGGTGAACACAAATGTAGATACTTATATATAACATGTGTGCAATTACCTAAGTGTAATTACCTAAGTGTAGTTACAGGATGAGAGCTACGCTCGTGGTGTCCCGTCTACCCAGCACTCTTTGTCATATAACGCTTTGAAACTACTGACGGTCTTGGCCTCCACCACCTTCTCACCTAACTTGTTCCAACCGTCTACCACTCTGTTTGCGAAAGTGAATTTTCTTATATTTCTTCGGAATCTGTGTTTAGCTAGTTTATATCTATGACATCTTGTTCTTAAAGTTCTAGGTCTCAGGAAATCTTCCCTATCAATTTTATCAATTCCTGTTACTATTTTGTATGTAGTGATCATATCACCTCTTTTTTCTTCTGTCTTCTAGTTTTGGCATATTTAATGCCTCTAACCTCTCCTCATAGCTCTTGCCCTTCAGTTCTGGGAGCCACTTAGTAGCATGTCTTTGCACCTTTTCCAGTTTGTTGATGTGCTTCTTAAGATATGGGCACCACACAACCGCTGCATATTCTAGCTTTGGCCTAACAAAAGTCGTGAACAATTTCTTTAGTATATCGCCATCCATGTATTTAAAAGGAATTCTGAAGTTAGAAAGCGTGGCATAGGCTCCTCGCACAATATTCTTTATGTGGTCCTCAGGTGATAGTTTTCTATCTAGAACCACCCCTAGATCTCTTTCTTTATCAGAATTCTTTAAAGATTTCTCACATAATATATAGGTGTGTGTGGGGTCTATGTTCTCCAATTCCACATTCCATAACATGGCATTTATTAACATTAAATTCCATTTGCCAAGTGGTGCTCCATATACTTATTTTGTCCAGGTCATCTTGAAGGGAATGACAATCATCTACGTTTCTTATCTTTCCTATAATCTTAGCATCATCAGCAAACATGTTCATATAATTCTGTATACCAACTGGTAGATCATTTATGTAGACAATAAACATCACTGGTGCAAGAACTGAACCCTGTGGTACTCCACTTGTGACATCTCTCCAGTCCGATACATTACCTCTGATCACTGCTCTCATTTTTCTATCAGTCAGAAAATTTTTCATACATGTTAGAAGCTTACCTGTCACCCCTCCAATATTTTCCAGTTTCCCGAACAACCTCTTACGTGGAACTCTGTCAAAAGCCTTTTTTAGGTCCAGATAGATGCAGTCAACCCAACCATTTCTTTCCTGTAATATCTCTGTTGCTCGATCATAGAAACTTAGTAAATTCGATACACAGGATCTTCCAGATCGAAAACCATACTGTCTGTCTGATATTATATTATTTCTCTCCAGGTGTTCTACCCATTTAGTTTTAATTATTTTTTCCAATATTTTGACTATTACACTTGTCAATGATACCGGTCTATAATTAAGGGAGTCTTCCCTGCTTCCACTTTTGTAGATTGGAACTATGTTAGCCTTTTTCCACACATCAGCTACAACTCCTGTAAACAGGGATGCCTGAAAAATCAGTTGAAGAGGAATGCTGAGCTCAAGTGCACATTCTCTCAGAACCCATGGTGAAACTCCATCTGGACCAACTGCTTTGTTCTTACTTAGCTCCTTGAGTATTTTTTCCACTTCGTCTCTAGACACCTCTATGTGCTCTATGTTGTTCTCTGGAATTCTTATTGTATCTGGTTCCCTGAAGATTTCATTTTGTACAAACACACTTTGGAACTTTTCGTTTAATGTTTCACACATTTCCTTTTCATTTTCCGTGAATCTATTTCCCATTTTCAACCTCTGAATATTATCCTTTACCTCCAATTTGTTGTTTATGAATTTATAGAATAAACCTGGTACTGTTTTACATTTGTCTGCAATCCCTTTTTCAAAATTTCCTTCTGCCTCTCTCCTCACTGCCATGTAGTTGTTTCTCGCATCTTTGTATCGCTGGTATGTTTGGGGGTTTGGCCTCTTCCTGTATCGATTCCATTTTTTGGCCTCTTCCTGTATCGATTCCATTTTTGTGTCTTTTTGGTTTCTGGCCCTCTCGCAATTTCTGTCGAACCAATCCTGTTTCCTAGTTCTGCATCTCTGCTTTGGAAAAAAAAAAAATTTGTGCCCTTATCATATATTTCATAAAACTTGACATACATCTCATTTACTTCATGTCCTAACAGCAAGTCTTTCCAGTCAATTTCCTTAAAGAAATGTCTGAGTTCCCCCATAATGACCTCTCCTGAAATCAGCCTTTCAACTGCTTCAACCTCATTTTCTTCCAAATTATAACACATAGCATACTTTATTCCCAATAAGACATGGTCACTTTTACCTAAAGAAGGAAGGTACTGAATGTCAAATATCTCTTCCTCTTTCCTGGTAAATATCAAATCCAGCATGGAGGAAACATCCCCTACCCTCATCTTCGTAGCTTGTTTAACATGTTGAAACATGAATGTTTCCAGGAAGAGGTTTACGAATCTACAAGTCCAAAAATCCTCCGTTCTAGCTTCATATGCCTCCCAGTTTATGGATTTTAAGTTGAAGTCGCAGACTACCAACAGTTGTGATCTATCTTTATCATCTCTGACTAATAATTTCTCTCATTATTGTTACAAGACCCTCTTGTTTATTATCTAGCTCCTCCTTTGTCCATGTGTTGCTTGGCGGTGGACTATATGCATTTATGATTGTTAGTTTATTATCCTGATTGCATATCTTTAGTGCTATTATGTCAACTTCTCGTGGATTAGCAATTATTATTTTGTTTACCTTTAGGTGTTCTTTCACCAGCACACCACCACCACCATCTTTCCTAATTTTTCTGTCCCGTCTCCAGACCGAGTAGCCTCTTGGAAGTATGACATCATTTAAAATATCATCTTCAAGTTTTGTCTCTGTGAGTGCAACAATGTCTGGTGTCTGCAGCTGTATTACATCACTTAACTCCAGTATCTTTGATCTCACTCCATCTATGTTGGTGTGTGCAATTTTAAAAAACATTAAAATATAGCCTAATTAAAAAAACTACAACTCTCAAAACAGCATTTGTCATTTAGCACAGTGCAGTGGCTAAGAAAGGCAGCCCTAAGTACGTGCAGTCCCAGTGCACTATGTTACTCCTGACCAAAACGACACAAATAGCAGGAAACACCACAAGGGCACAAAATCCTGCAAGAAATCGAGGTCAGAGTTGACAAGCACCCCAGAGCGCATCAGCCTACGAAATGAAGGTGTGAGTAGCCAGCTCGGGGCTGTCCGTGGCTCCACCCTCCAAGGGAGGGAAGGGCTGCGTGAACAAGCGGCACAGTGGCGATGTATGTTTGCTCGTTTCCTTTGGTGTTGGCGAGTTCTGCCTCTGTTCGATCTTCGCTAGCAATTTTCTTTCCAAGTGGGGTTTGTTTTGTTACGTCTATCTTTCTGGGTGTCGAACCCCAGTCGATAGCAGACATGAAATGCCCCAACCACATGAAGGTTTCCATAGGCCATTGCTCTCCGTGCCTCTCTGAGGGGGCCAGGACTCGTGGTCCTCAGTAGGCTGAACTCCAATTGACTGATGCCCCAGACTAATATATCGCATATCAGTCCGATAGCTCCAAGGAGCTGATAGGGCTGCCCACAGAAAAAATTATATAAATTTCTCCAACATTTAAAAAAAAAAAACCTCGGGGCCTTTAATGTAACAAAATAAGCTATGAATTATGAAGCTTTCCCTGGGAAACAACAATGAACCCTCATGCTTAACACAATGTATTCATATATGAAATATAAAAACTTGTCTATATCTGCACAAAATGTCCCTCTGAGAAAGCTATGATAAAGGTGCAGAAAATGCACAGAGGGAGGGAGGGAGGGAGAGAGAGAGGGGAAGGGGGAAAGGGGAGTGAAGGGCAACTAGGAACACACACACCCAACCTGGATGTGTATGATATGTTGATGGTTATTCCCCCCCCCCCCTCCCCAACCACATATCTCTAATCATTCGTGGAGATTAATGTAACTTTGATTCCAAACCTGACATCCTTTGTCAAAGGAAGTGAGCCCAACATAAGCAACTACAAACCAATATCAAATCAACCATTACAGTCAAAGAAATCTTAAATAACTATCCATTATATGTTTTTGAGTCACAAAATACTAAATCTCTACAAATTTGGATTTAGACCCCAAATAGCATATACAATATGTCCTAATTAAAATGCTTGATATAATCTACTCAACTTATTCAAATAAAAAACTGCATTATATATATTGATCATAACAATGCCTTTGACATTATTGGCTTTATTATTATCACACTACAACAATGTGAGGTGTTGGGCTATTTGTATAACTACTTTCTCAATAAATATTGGCATTCCTCACAGCTGAATACTTGGCTCATCCATATCCTTCATTTACATCAAAAGCCTAACCAATACTTACTAACACTTCAGATCTACATTTTCTACAGATGACACTACTGTTTTTTTAAACGTTGACCCAAGTCGTAAGTACTCTAAAATATAACAGTGAGTTCAAGATAGTCTAGAAATGGATGAGAACCAAGAGATTCATACTTAATGTATAAATGATGTACTGTTCTACATATTATTGAAAAATAAATAGTATCTGTACAATAGTATAACTATGATTGTACCCTTGTATGGAATCATAGTTTTACGTACTCTAAAAATACAAGGGATGTCTTTCTTGTTGGCATGTATCACATCAGAGTCTCGCACCGTTGAAACTTCAAACTGGTCGTCTCTCATATCTAGGACTGTGCTTACCCACACACTTGGTAAGGCATTTCTGAAAAGAACACAAAATTACAAACCCTTTGCAAAATTACAGAAAAAAAAATTACATTTGAGCATATCTTAAAATATAAAAACTATTATGGAAATCATCTGCCTGGCCTGATGTCAACACCTAAACTTTTAAAAATAATCTGCAAATATCTTTTTTTCAGTCAAATCTTTTTGACTGACAGAATCACCCATCCTGCAAACACAATAAGGTGTTTATTCAGACATTAATCACTGGCCCCTCCAACTTCTCCAGAACTATCTACACGATTGTCAGGAAATATAACTTAAAAACAAGTGATGTATACAATGGTGTAGCATGTCAACAGGATAGAGCAAAACTAGTCAGAAAAGAAGGTACATATACTCCCAGCTGGATATCTGTAGTTACAGTATTAATGAATTACTGTCGCAGAGAGATGGCTTATTAACAAGCATTTTAAAACCAGCGGAAATAAGGCCTATGTTACACGAGCTGCGTGTTCAGAGTGATTTCAATTTCCAGGCTACCCCCCTAAATTTTATGTAAAATGCCAAGTGCTCAAATTTCTATAGCATTAAGGTATAATTACTTCATATTAGTTATCCTTCAAATTGTCTTATCTCTTATTTAATGCAGTGTGTTTTGCCTGTATGTCTCACTGCTCTAATTGTAAGCTTAATGTTTTATACAAGTACACACCTATTCATTCCAGCCACACCTGGAAATGATTTTTATAAATTGCTGTCAAATAAAGCTTCTACGTCTAAATTTTACAGTATATACTTCAAATCATTATGGTTTATGTTGTTATTATTGACTCACTTCTTTAAATAATGTACATAATTTTTGGAAACTCACTCAATTCCATATATACAAGCATTTATGAATAAAGTTACTGAATTTAAATATAATTAAACCTTGCAATATGTAATATCAAAATGGCAAAATTTAACACAGTATTCACAGAATAAAGATTAAAGACAAATTTTCACTAATCACGAGTGCTGGAGAGGACTTGTGTGAGCACAACAAACTTTTTGAATTAAGGGAAAGATATGTTTACTAAATAATTGTGATGGGTAGTAGGAATCAATGGATTGACGACGTGAGAGGAAATAGTAAGTGTGCACCACTACCGAGAGATACAAATTTCCTACTTCCAGCTCAGTAATACTTGTAAGCATTCACGAAACAGATGAGGAGAGAAATGCAGCAAACCATAGTGTAACTGTCCAACTTTTTCATTAAATTATTCACAATAAATATACAAAGCTTCATCATTTTTTATCATTTAAATGCTTTTTATTTCCAGTTTCCTGATTTACCTGAGGGCCACTAACCCTAGTAGCCTCAACAAGGACAGGAAGCCAGCAGCTTGTTGAAGGGTTCCCCCCCCCCTTCCCTATTTGCATTAATCTTCTTTACCAGGTTAATTTTAAAACTTAACACAGTTTTGGCATTTACTGTTGGTGGGAAAATTTATGGTTTCTACTTATAGACTGGAAATTTATTTTCCCATCTAAGCAAAAGCACAAACCATTACCATGAATATCAGACCTTCTAGCAGCACTTGCAACTGTTATGTTTTCTTGCATCTCAGAAACATGTTTTAGTATGGCCCTTCCCTATCTTCAGAAGATGAAGCAATCTAAGGATAACTTCAATGGGTTGTGAGCTTGCTTACACATTTATCAAGGTATACCTTTCTTTTCCGGTAAATTTACATTAAATTCATAATAATTCTGTCTTTTCCGAATTGTATTGCAAGATGATTACTGTACACAACCACCTCAGATATATAGGAAGAAATTGATGACTGGGCTGCGATTCTTGATTCTTACATCAGGCTTTGAGCATTAACACTTTCGCTCACCCCGCGCGCCACCCCTCGACAGGGCGATATGGGCCCCAGCGTGTCACGGAAGCGCGCGTTAATTCCGAAAAGTGTATACTCTCTTCAACTTTGTCACCTCAATTCTCCTTCTACGAGAATAAATTTGGTATCATTGTGTTCGCAATAAAATTCTCTACAGCACTAAATGCATATAAACTCCAAAAGCCCGGCTAATTACCCGCAGCAAACAGAGAAAGTGCGAACGAGTTACCCGGGAGCGCGCAAACGGGATAAAATGTTTTCACTATTTTCACTCTGGTCACCTCAATTTTTGTCCTAGGTCTTTCATTTTGGTCTCAATGGGTTCGTAATAAAATTCTCTAGAGGAACATTAGCATATAAAAAAAAACACCTGGTCACGCTCCAACCGCCGACGAGTTGAAGACGGGCCACGCGTTAGCCGTGAGTGAGCGCTCAGAGGCCTTCCTACTACACTCCCAATTCCCACCCTTTTCAAGCCTTTCTTTCGCAATTTTCTTCCTGGAAGGGCCTTGTTCATGATTACTATCCATCGTGGAGTAAGCGTAGATAGTTTCTAAAGCCGCAGTAAGAAATATAGCCACGGAAAATAGCCGAAATGTTCACACGTTTGAGATGCGAGGGGAGACGACATTGGTCACAACAGTGGAGCAAAGACAATGGGCCCACGGCGTGTGCCAAGCCGCCTGAGGGCCACGAGGCTCAACAAAGGAAATGGGAAGACATCGGCGCACATTTTAAAACCAGTCCCCAAAAAATCGGATACAAACCTGATTTTTGGCGAATTTTTAAAGTGGATGACGCAATGCTGCGTCATCCCCGGCATTACCGCCAGTAAACGGATGACGCAATGCTGCGTCATCCCCGAGCGAAAGTGTTAATAACTTATATTTATAACCCAAATATTGAGAAAACCTAAAAACTAAAAAAAGCTCAGGTCACATTTAGTCGAGACAACCTACTGCAACCTGCTATGGACTTCAGGTACTGTACTTAAAGACAGCCCTTCCTTACAATGTAAATCAATGATTTCTCTTGAATTAAAATGTGCTTCTAAAGACAATAATTTTTCACTTAAATTTATGGTCATATATATTGAGCTTTAATTTTTAATTTTTTTTTTTTACTCCACACTTTACAATTTCACACAAGCACTCAAACTATTAATATATCTGAATTGTTCAAACCACCTGCAGCAATTTTTTCCACATTATATCTTCAAACTTAAGGTGACTTGCTTTATAACTCACCTTATACACTGTAATCAAAGAGACAAATATTTCAACTGTATTCCTAAATAAACAAAAAGTGTATACAGTATTACTAACCTTTCAGGTGAGATATCGTAGAGGAAGAGCTTAAAATCACACACAACAACGAACTGTCTTGACCATCCCTTCTTGACCCCTCCAGGCTTTGGTACTTTTACAAAACCTTCATATGCTGTACCAATGCCTCGAGTAGGATCAATACCCAATGGTCTCTTGGCTAGAAAAGATGCAGATGTGAATAAGCTAAAGACTAAGGTACTACAATTCCTGAATAACAGGCTATAAAATATTGTCTGGTATCAGGTACCACAAAAGATACAACAAGGAACAAGCCACTTAAACTAGTCATGTTTTAATTACACCAGGGAAATAATCACACATCTTGGGATACCAACAGTTCTCGTGTGAAGCCAGGAGGAGTGAGAAGTGAATCTGGTTCAATATGATTGGCCAGCTAGTTTTATCGCCCCTTTTCAAAGGAGTTTCACCAACATTATCATGCATCTCCCATTCATATTAATTCATCTCAAACATTCATCATTCAAACTTATTTCAATATTTATCTTCACTATAAACCATTATCTCATGAGGTTATGACTAAAATCATGTCAGGTCACCTGCTTATGCTAAATTAATATATACATATGACTATTAAAACACCCCATAAAGTACAGTAGCTTACTCAAATCTAACATAATATTCCAAACAAATCACAAAGATTAAATAATTAGGAATAAAAAGTGTCCACCTGCCATGTTTAAGCCAACATACATGCATCACGCTGTCTTAATCCCTCAACCACACTCACGGCAATTTGTAATTAACCTTTTTCATTATATGCAACATGTTTAAATTTTTCATTTTTTTTTTTAATATTGTTCCTGTTTGCATAGGTTGAACTGACTAAGAAAGTTTAACTAAGTTAAACTTTCTTATATTATTTATGATTTAATTTATGCCACAATTTTGGGGGTTTTGTTTTATTTTGCAAGCAGTGCCTGGCAACTGGGAACCTGCCCTACAGGTTAAACAATTATGGAAAAAGCAAGAATGTGCCGACAACTGAAATTTGAATGCATTAATTTATCTATTACAAATACTCATTTGCAAACAATTAAATAAAAACCTATCAGACTATAAATTGTAATTTAAATAAAACACAGTTTTTACCAATTAATGCAAACAAACTGATTATCAGCTACATCTAAAAAACATCAAAAACTTCTGTTTATCAATATCTTGGGTGTCACAATTGCCTTGCATCCTACCTGTCCTGGAAACCTCACAACAGTGCCTTGCCAAGATTGCTTTAAGAGAGAAAATCCTCTTTAGATTCAAAATAAAATTCACTTCAATTATTCCAGCTCTCCACGTCAAATATGCCCTTGTGTAGAATACTGATCTCTTTTTTTTTTTTTTTTAAGCTACCCCTCTTGAAATTCTTGAAATGGACAGCCATTTGTCTAATCCGTTCACCTGAATCTCATATGTAACTTGAGTCACTGGCCTCCTGTCAGAAAAATCTGCTTCTTTCTCTCTCTCCCATCACAACTTCCATGGCTTCTGCTCCCAAGAATATGCAATCTGTTTCTTACTTTAAAGTACTGTAATACCATACTCACATCACATACAACAATTTTTTTTTTTTTGTTAAGTCACTGTCTTTCATGAATCCTAGACCTTAATGCTTTGTTGGCTCTCTCTCTTTTCATTCTAGTGTAATGTTATGGAAGTCAACTATCACCATCAGTTATCAGTGGTTTTCTCCTGCACTACTGATATATTATAATAATAATAATAATAATAATAATAATAATAATAATAATAATAATAATAATAATTTATTTAGGAAAAGTACATACAAAGTTGCAGAGATACAGTACAAACATTCTGTTTGATTTAAAGATAGAGGTAGTACATACAATACCTAAAGCCACTAGTACGCAGAGCGTTTCGGGCAAATTTCGGGCATATATGATCTTACATGAACTATCCAAGGTTTTACTCTGAAATTATTTTACCCTGTCTCATAGCTATGAATGCACTCAAAGTGGACAATTTTTGCCATTTCATTGACCTTCTCAAAAAAATACTCTCTATGGTTGTCAGTATGTATCATGAATTTGGTGCATCATGAAGTTCAAATATGTATACAAGATGTTCTAAAAGTTCATCTTTATGAAACCAAAAGTGGAAATTACAGTAACCTAAAAAAAAAAATTCTGATGCCGAGATACAACACACGCACACATTTTTATAAAATGGTCATTACTTATAATTAGTATAGCACAGTATATAAAATTTATGAAACTATGCACATTTTCTTTTATAACAACTTCTTATATGTTCAAATATAATCTATTATTAAGAAACTAACTTTGATATTGTACTTACTCTGGTCAGGAGGCACAGGGCAAATCTGCGGCACTTTCTCTTTACACGTAGTGTGGCAGGCAAAGCCGCAGACCTCGCACACTACTCCTTGACGAGTAAGGCCAACCATGAGGGATGTGCAGTGAGAGCACTTTATAGGGTTACTAAAAGAGCGAACTAGGAACTGATGAGCCTTTTGTTTCATCATATGAGGGGACGGTCCACTACCACTGCTACTGCTCCCTCCTGACATGCCCATGGCAACAGCCGAGTGTTGGTGATGGGCCATTGTGGGCATTACCCCTGGAGGAACACTGGTAGCAGTCTGAGGTAAAGGTGGTAGAGGACGAGACTCCATATGAGGAGAACCAAGTTGTTCCTGTCATGTTAAAATTACAATCAAATCTATATTTCAATAATATGCAAAGCTCTGATTTCTTATGATAAAACTGTAGAGTTTATAAGAAATTCTGAGAATAAAGTTTATCATGAGCAAGCCAGGTGTTAGGGACACATTAATGCAAGTATGGTCTTACAACATTGAATAGTTAGGCTATACTCAACAACAACAAAGTCATAGGCCCCGCACAGTACATTCAAATATTACAAAAAGAGCACACAATGATTTAAGTTTATAAATATGAAGCTCTCAAACAAATGCAGTACTCGGTATCCAGAGTGTTAAAAAGGTTAAACAAGAAAACAGTCAGAAAAATGTCTTATATCTATAGACTTACACTTGTAGAAATTACACAAATTAATTCACACATACTTTTCATTTAGAGAACAGACCTTGATTACAGTCTATTCTAGAGATTGTTTCATGTAACCTTTATCGCCTCTGACACATGCCCATGAAACATTATCTACAACTTGGTCTACTCTGATTCTGGTCTACATTCCTGGTTCCCAACCCACTGGTTGGGAACCAGTATTTCACACACTCATTTTTTTTTTTTTTAGGGAGGGGGGGGGGAGTATTAGATAATGGGACCCTTTCCAAAAAGTTCTGGAACCACTACTCTACACTGTTAGGGGTACATTGTTCTCTTTTCAACCATGAATTGCTACAAGTACCTAGATCACTTTACACAAACTTTTTCATTAAATTCATTAAATTTGACCCATTAAAAAAACATCGTTGAATGTAATGAAACGCCATTTTCTGGGGGGGAGCCCTGTCTGCTCCCCGGAGCTATCCCAGGCTGACATGCTAATGTCAGACTTTGGCATCAGTCATGTGTATGGAGTTCTTAGGCCTACCGGGGCCAACGGCCAGAACCAAGCCACCTCAGAGAGGCAAGGGGAGCAATGGCCTATAGAAGCCCCCGTGTGGTTGGACGCATTCTATGTCTGCCATCGACCGGATCAGGCACCCAGAAAGGTAAGCGCCTCAAAACAAACCTCTATTCTGGTTAAAATTGCTACCAAAAGCCGAACTAGTGGATAGAACTGCCCAGCAGAAAAACAAGCAAACTAGTGTGACGTCACACGTCGCCGTGCCGCTGTCTGTGCAGCTCCCCCCTCCCCGGGAGGGGGAAGGGGGAGCCCCAGACCCTTCATGCCGGCTACCCACACCTCAGTTCTGAGGCTGGATGTCAAAAACATGAAAAAAACGTTGACCGGAGGGAGGGAGGGAGGGATGCCGGGAAGCCTCCAGGACTCACCCAGAAAATGGCGTTTCATTACATTCAACGCTAGTTTTCTGGGGGGGGAGCCCCGTTGGCTCCACGGAGCTAACTAGCAACAGACGGAAAAATAGAGGGACTTACCCAGGAGGCGGTCGTCACTCACTCCTCAATTCGAAGGCGAGACAACTGGCTGCAACCGCCGACCCAAAGCAACACAGGCCCGACGGGGCCCAGGAACATTAGGGGCCCAGGTAATGAGCAGCCAGGACCCTGTTTGACTGCCAAAAACCCCACACCCGAATATCAGATCAAGACATATTTCCAAAGACGGCAGCAGGAGCCGCGAACTTACGGACATCACGGGCACGGGGATAGACCGCAGGCTGGCTGGATTTGATAACCCTGCGGACGACCTGGGAGACCTGAACCCGCGAACTGGAAAGAAGGGAAACCGGATCAACCCAAAGAGCGTTCCCAGACACAGAAGCCGTGGCATGCAAATAACGGCGAAGCGCCGCAACCGGACACAAAGCATGATGCACCCCCCGACCGTACCAATCAAGCATCCATCACCCACGAATCCCTCCGGAACGCAGCAGTCTCATTCTTCGCCAGAAAAGAAGAAGACGGCTGCAAGCGAACAAAACAATCCTTACGACCAAAAGAGCAGAAACCCCTGCGCCGGAGGAGAGCATGAAACTCCCCGACCTGACCCCCAGAGGCTAATGCCAACAAGAAAAGAGCCACAACGAGGAGACGAAAGGTAAGCAAGCACTCCGTCCAAAGACCAGGACGGCTTAGGCGGCGCATGAGCAAGCCGGAGGTAAAACAAAGCACGAGACAGCTTGCGAAACGGTGCAGACGTAACATCGACACCGAAGGCAAGCTGAAGCGGCTCCGCCAGCGCCTCACGATACGAGGCGACAGTGTTAGGCATAAGATGATGGTCCTGAAACAACCAAGAGAGAAAGGACAAGACCACTCTAACAGACAACGCACAGAGCGAACACCGCGCCGACCAGACGAGGGCAGGTCCGAAGCAGGAGCCGAACCCGAACCTGAAACCAGTGGCCAACCACAATGAGAGGAACCCCGAGCCCTGGAATGACCCCTCCGGGAAGACCCACCCCAGGACCCCCGGAAAATCAGCAAGTCCGACATCGGACAACAAGCCGACGATGCAGCCTGGATAAACTGCGCCACGGCCGACTCCTCAAACAGAAGAGGACAAAAAGGCGACGACAGCCTAAGAGCCAGAGCCCAAACAGATTCTACAGAGGAACCCAGCACGGCCTGCCAACACGCGAGACGGGAAGCATAAAACAGGGAAACCGCATCCCGCAAAATCGGTGTGAAAAGCTTCAACAAGGCAGCCGACGAACGCGCTGCCGAGGACAAGTCGCCGGACGCCGGGAAGGACCCAAACGTCCTCACATCCTCCATGAGCCAATCCGAGGATAGCTCCAGGAGGGAAAAGAACCACAAGGCCGAAGGCAAAAGGCCCCAGGCGAGCAAGTCCTCCGCCACGAGCGCCTCCGAAAGGGTGGGAACTTGCACATGGAGCTGAACAATGCCCATATTGCGGGGAAGAGCAGGGGCAAACAAGCACTCGTTCAGGTACTCAAGATCGCCTTCCAGGAAAACCTGAACCACCGTGGAAGCTTCCCGCCACTCCAGCGTGCGGGAACGACAGAAAGAATGCCAGGAATCCAAAACAAACAAGGGGCAGTCAGCTAGCCAGGAAGACTCTGGAACCTCGTAACGGAGCCAGAAAGGGAACGAAGTCCCAAACTTGAACTCGGACAGATCCATTTCCGAGGCATAATCCGGGTCACGCAGGAGGTATGCTGCAAGGGCCGTCCGCACCACACCAGGTTGGATGCAATAAGCCGAAAACCTCCGGAAAGACGGAACTGCACCCGGGAAAACACAGAACCGAACCCGGGGAGGGGCCGACACCAAATCCAACTCGTACGCAGAGGTGGGATAAGAAAACCCCACACCTTGTAACAACAAGCCCCGTTCAGAGGGAAGAAAAACCCTGGCGGGGTCCAGTGGGGCCCAAGGCCCCCAAGTCAGCCCCTCGCCAGCCACGGGGTCCTTTACAGCAGGACCCAGGGCCAAGTCCTCTTCCCAAACACCAACCCCACAAGACAAGGACGGAGCAGCCGTAGAAGCCGGAAGAAAGGGGGCCCCACTGGTCAGACCCAGAAGCTTCGGCCGGGAGACAAGACTCGAATGCCTCTGCCCCCCCCCCCCCCCCCGGAAGGGGCATCCCCTGAAGCTGCCCGAGTCTCGAGATCAAATAACCCCTGCTCCGACTCCGAAACCCTCAGACGCTTTGGGGCTGGAAGCAGGGAAGGGGTGGGGGGACCAGAACGAACAACACAAGGGGAAGGACGAGAAGGTGCGGACTGAACCAGGATCAAAGCGACCCCCACCCCCAAGTCCGGGGCTCGAAAAGCAAAGCGGGACAGCACCGGGGCATCCGGGTGAGCAACCAACCGAGCGCGTTGCAACAGACGAAACTAGCTTGTAACGCACGCGCCGCCTGTACCCGAATAGAATCATCAGAGGATTGGGTAAATTGAGTCACAAGCAAGCAGCAACACTCACAGGACTCAGGGTTGAAAATATCACCGACCCAAGCCGGCTCCCCCCTTCCCCCTCCCGGGGAGAGGGGAGCTGCGCTGACAGCGGCGAGGCGACGTGTGATGTCACACTAATTTGCTTGTTTTTCTGTTAGGGAGTTCTATCCACTAGTTCGGCTTTTGGTAGCAAGGGATTTGTTTTGAGGCGCTTACCTTTCTAGGTGCCTGTTCCGGTTGATGGCAGACATAGAATGCTTCCAACCACCCGGAGGTTTCTATAGGCCATTGCTCCCCTTGCCTCTCTGAGGTGGCTCGGTTCTGGCCGTGGGCCCCGGTAGGCCTAAGAACTCCATACACATGACTGATGCCAAAGTCTGACATTAGCATATCAGCCTGGGATAGCTCCGGGGAGCAGACGGGGCTCCCCCCAGAAAAGTTTAGTAAGATTTTGATCCAAATTTCATTAAAAACTTTAAATTCAAATAATTATACTTTAATTCTATCAAATGTTTCTAGTATTATGATGATCTGAATAACACAAGACAACCTAGATGAACCTTATTAATGTATACCAAACAAAAATATTAAATAACAAAAATAAAAACAGCACAAGACTAAGATTTTGCACAATGTTGTATTCGTATTTGTAGTTGGAAGCCATAACTACAAACGGATCCAATACTATATTCATGAATATTAGCATATTCAAATTACTTTCCTCTAATGCACAGTCCAAATTACATTTAATGTACATATACTGCAAAATAATGTTATTAAAATACAGTATGTACATGAAGTGACAAGGAAGAAAAGACTAACTAGAGGAATTAAATATCCAGTAATCAAGCATTTTTATTAACAAATAATTAGTGCTTGAGAGCTAACAATATATTGGTAGTGACTGGGTAACTATTAAAATTTATTAGCAATATGCCCAACTCACGATGTGAGTATACATGGTCAAGCCATTTCCTCTGTGTTACTCTTTAAAACACTGATGAAAGTAATGACACGCTCAGTAAGGGTGTCCCAAACTACACAAATGACAATACCCATCTGGGATGCAAATTATTCAACAAATATACGAGGCGCTGCACAGTATTAGAGAAACAGTACAAAGAAAACATTAAAAAAAAAAATTAATGTTTCGACAATGAGAAAAGTTGATGACAGTAAAACAAATTTAGTGAAGAAGCAATACATTGTGAAAAAAATGCTTGCTTAAATCACTATGCACATTACTGGCTTTGCAACAGTGTACCATTTTTATCACTAAAATCTGAATTTTCACAACCCATTGTTCCTTTTTATATTTATATAAATAAAAATATATAGATAAATGAATAAGAAAGGTTACATGCATGCTAGACATACTTGCATAACCTTCCCCTCTCTCAAACATAACTGAATAGCGTCACTTCAACTAGACTGTTCGGTGTGTCACTAACCTGACTAACGAATGATCGAGAAGATGTGAGGGAGGGGACGGAAGGAGCTCCTTCATCCTCCACGTCCCCTTCCTCTGACTCTAATGATCCTCCTCTCCGAAGAGATGTCTCTTTCAAAAACTGCTCCAGGAAGGACATCTGCGATGCTGGACGCTCCAACACTGAAGAAGAATAATACAGAACTGATAAGCACAAAATCAAGATGAGCAAATCAAAACTAAAGGTTTCAGTTTGCTTATTAATCACATGCAGTACAATACAAGATATTCAACAAGAGTTACCAGGTACTGTATAAATCTTCAGCTCTTATAAATAAACAACAGCTGGGACAAATTTAATAATTCAGTAGAGATGAACATTATACTTTCCAATTAATTTGGCAGAAGAGTTTCATGGTAAAGCTGGAGGAATTATATCCCTCGATATAAAATCCATAAACTCAAATTTAACATTTACCCCAAATACACCCTTAAGCCATTTATATATTTGAAATTTTGCTTATAAGCTAAACAATTAGATATACACTATTGGAAAATTGTAACTTTACTGCAAACACGCTGTATAAGTGTGACTAACTTTATTAGACCACTTCCTAGTGCACACATTTCAAAATAAGCAGCAGCAAAATGAAGCTAAAAAGTTTTAGACATTATAAACTAAAAAAAAAAAAAAAAAAAAACTGTTGCCCTTAAAACATCACAAACATTAGAGAAGCAAAATATTTTCCATCACTTTGGACACAAGAGTGAGAAGGTTGGCAAGAAGTTGACTCCATATGATGAAAGATGCTTTACTCTCTCTCTGGTACTTACAGCTTCCTCTAATATCCTCATTAATTGTGTTTGGTGCTGGCCAAGCTTAAGTAAGAGTTGCCAATATGCTTGAATATCAGCTTTAACCATCAATACTGTTACATTGGACTTATTTACAACAATAAAAACAATATTTAATGAAATGTTTGGTATGTACAACATTACCAATCATTTTACAGTGATATTCAAGAACGTTTTTACCGACATAATGATTATAGTATGTATATATTTTAGTTATTGCTTTTCTAAACTTAGACTACAAGCTCAACAAACTAGACATTACAATCTAGCAAATCACAACAATTTTCCCATCAGAGATTAGATTGCAAAAATAATCTACCAGTGTACATGAATAAATTAACTGGAAATTAACTTATAATTAACCTAGTTCTCAAAAAATAAATAAATCTTACCAAAACCAAACATACTTCTTCCGATAGACCCTAAGAAAAACACACAGATCTAGAATTAGACATGCACAGAGACCTTCCTGATTTATATTCAAGAATTATAATTAATGCAATCAAACTTTTTTCAAGATCCGAAAATGTATGCATCACCGATAAGATCTTTTTCAAAAACTGTAACTAATATTACTCAAAATCTACAAATAATATATGAGCTGTACTTTAAATATTGCTAACAAAAAACAAAAAAATTAGTTGTTAGGTCAAGGCAGGACAAAAAAAATATAAAATTCACGGCCATAATTCTGAAACATACTTGATAAGTTGACAGCTGATTGTAATAGCTGGCTGATTGCAATTAAGTAATTTAAGCTGACACTAAATGCCGTTTCAGAATAGGGGCCATATATTCCAATTTCATGTAAGTTTAAACCTTGTATAGCCATTTGGCTGGCAGGTTTTGGTATGTCTTTCCATACTAAAATTCACTTAAATTACAGCAATGTAGCCCACTTTTATAATACTCATAAACCTGCTTTTATAACCAGACTGAATTAATTAGCAGAGAATTGAAAAACTACTCCCAGAAAATGATATACAGTACTGTATTAACACCAAAACCTGTTTTAAGGTATACTGTAAAAGTAAAGCCACGCATAAAACTGGGGCGAGGGTTGGACACGACACAAGAGGTCAAAATGGGGCTCAGTCACAGTACATTACCAAACTTTCGAGTCTTGCGTTCCTGTGTGGCAGCTGCATGTGCGTGCGTGCGATCAGAAATAGATTTTCATGAGAAGGATGAGGAAACCCCAGAGGCAGCTAGTCAGCCCAATGAACAAGGGCATTTTGTCTGCAGCGCCGCCCATGGGAGATGATAACTGGGTCAGTGAGGGGCCTCCACACAAACATGTAAAACCATCCATTTTCAAGCAATTTCAGTTGGAATTTTAATGGATATTTTCATCTTCTCCATTAGCTATGCGATTAAGTAATTTATTGTCATGATAAAATAATTTCCATGTACAGTATATAAAAGGGGGGAATGATATTTATATAAATGATAAAGATTTAGTAAGGCTAAGTTATTAGTAAATGCTGGACACTACAATTCAAGTTAACTGCTCTGTGAAGAAAATATTCCAGCTCAAAATTGGCCATTTTGGTATAAATGTTCATGAAGCACATGATTTTCTATGGGGTGTCCAGGACTGGTTAATGAGCCACCATCATTCTCAGGACAGCACATCTAAACACACACAGATGTGGAATGTATAAATTTTGTGAGAGACAAAACAAGCTCATCCAAACAGTGATGACTGAAGCTCTAGTTATCTCACTCCCACCCACAAAACTCAAGTATGCCAAACTAAAACAAAAGTTCTAAGTTAGATATGCAAGTGTTTGGCATTAGGAAATTATTCAGCAGATAACTAAGTAAAACATCTCTTGATGGGATCCCTTTAGTACATGACAATTAAGTGTTACAAGTGGCTGGCAGACGTGGGGCCCTCCCTTCTCTTGACCCAATTATCATTGTGGCGGTACTATGAGACCATGCATAGTCACATGCCAAGGATAGGCTTCATACATGCCAGTCACCACCAGACTGGGACTTAAGATAAAACACATTTCAACTAGGCTACTGTTAGCCTTATCAAAATCAAAAATCAATAAACTGACCAAATGCAACATACCTTTAACAATAAATAATTAGCAACTGCGGCACTTTATTAATATAAATAATTTTGTATAAAAACAATTGTACGAGTGCCATAATACTTGTGAAATCCCTAAGTCCCTTTCCATTTGCTGGCATGAAGATGCTGGGGATTTACGATGGACAGATGGAAGTCGAAGTGTGTTTACAGACAGAACAGAGAAAAGGAATAATTTTGGGAAAAAAGTGTAAGAATTATTTGCCTCCAAAAAGAGATGTTTCGTACTTAGTTCCAGAGTTGGCAAACTCATCAGTGCTTAGCATGGTAAATAGTTTTGTATCAGTAGTTACCAAACTACTACATGTAAATATTAATTAGCTAACTTGTCACTTGTTAATTCAAAATAAATAAAAAGAGGGCACTGAGAAACTAAAAGCTTCTTTCTGAGCATTCCCCGAGATTGCTCCTCAAACCACGACTTGGGTATATCCAGTACACTGCCCAAAACCATGACAAGGAACTTTTACAATGGCCTTGCAGAGACTAGTCAAGGGAACTAGTAGGCAGAGAAACAGTGAAGAGTATTCTCAATGTACCACCAAAAGACCACTCTCTGTGAAACAAAATAAACCACTGAACACTCGCAACATGCAATTGTTGGATTCAATAGGATTGCAAATTATCACTCCTAATTATCAAAGGTAATTACCCAATACTGACCACCAATAGGTGGCAGCACTAGCTACCACAACACAGTCAGGGGAGCCAGCAACTCCTCCTCAGTGTAAAAGTCATCCAAGTATACTCTAGAATCTCCCCCCCCCCCTCTTGACACCTCAAGAGGAGGGGGGGGGGGGGGGGAGGGGGAAATGGGAGCAATAGAAGGACCACTAAAATATTAGCATTTCGTTCCATTCAATGTCATATTTATGAACAGGACCTTCTCAGTGTATTCCCTAGCCAACTCACCAGGAGACAGTGAACTTACCTGAGTGAATATCATATAGCAGGAGGGCCATGAGAAATGAGGTGAACAGAAGCCAATTACAAACTGTAATTGACCAGATAGATAACAGATAGCCCAGGGCAGTACACAAATTCTGAAGTCAATGTATGTTGGGCAGACAGGAGAATGCAATTTCTATATTTAACCTACAGAAGCCTTGGGCATGGATCTCAAAGCAGGGTGGCAATCAGGTTGTGTCCATCCAAAAATCAAAGGCACTGAGGTATGCAGACAGCTGATGTAACTTGCAAACCCACCACAGCAGCTATAAAATATGAGGTGTTAACCTAATAGTGCTTGCAGAAAAGTATGTCTGGCAATTTATGCCCTAATCTACCAGTTCTGCTGTGCTGATCTGCTACTACTATCTTCATATGACCCACTATTGCTATTCTTAGTATGAGCTCTTGCTGGGCAGCTTTCTGTGCTAACAGCAGAATCTGGCTCAATAGTGGACAAGGATGCCATACTTCCCTGATTAATGGTCAAAAGGCAGGGAAACCCCAGAAGCATGGGGGGCTAAACCAAACACCACCAGGTCTAAATCCAGAGGCAGCCTAGTCATGAAAGTTGAGTAAATAAAGGGTGCTCACCAAACCCTGTACAACCAACGATGGAGAAAAGGTGGTAACCGTGGAATAAAAAAATGTAAACCCAAAACGAGTAATTTATACCCTGAAGCAAAAGCTTGACTTTAAAGAACAGGAACAAAACCAAGCAACAAATTATGTTCCTTGTGTATTACCATAAGCCCAGCACTAAGGTAACCTTGTGATAATTTCAGGGCTCAACATCCCAATGGCCCATTCCCCGACCAGGCCTGCCCTGGTTAGGCTAAAGATAAGGTCCAAATGGCTACCTTGAAGTTACCTTACCTTGAGGTAAGGTAGGTAGTGGCTCAAGTTGAGTTGAGCCACAAGGTATTGGCTCAACTTAAGAGGTGGTGGTTCATGCTAAATGCAATGCCAAAATGCAACAGAAAAGATAATTCAAAGAACTACCAATCCCTGACAATCAGAGCCAGGAAAAGTAACATTGTAGCCGAGTAAAAGTGGATAGTTGTTGGCACAGATAATGCAAACATTGTCAACCTCTCAAGAATAACCTATCAACTTGACTGAAGCAGCCTCTGCAGAGCTGGGTGTGAAGTGGAAGGAAACCAGACAAAAAGTGAGGGCTGCTGGCTTCTTCAGCCCTATTGAGGAAGATAGTGATTTCCTCTGATGGTGGTGGACAGAACTGCTGGAAGTTGCTACTCAGTAGTTAGCAGTGATATAATTTGCTATCCTTTCTATCTCAATGATTGCATGTCAGTAGTGTTGCAAAGTTTGTTTTCTGGTTTACCTCACTGTGCACAGTCTTATAGTGGTGTATGAAGATAC